GATATTATTACACTAACTACAAAATAGCAGTTTGCAAAGGCACAAATAAAGTGTGGAAGACTGAGATAAAGAATGAAACTTAGCAAGAAATGGGGAATAGAAGGACATAAAAAAGAATTGTTGAAGGCTTTGAAAGAAAAGACAAGGATGAATGATAAGCAGAAGAACAGGAAAGGGATAGAGTGAATCCTAAAGGTTGACCTCATCACAGAGTATTTATATAAAAGATATGGAGCTGCAAGATAAGTTTGCTAAATACTTTGAGTAAGTTCACATCACACCAAAATTTATGCAGGAGATGTCATTGTTATTTACAGTTCATTAAAAAAAAAAAAAAAAAGGAAAAGGATAGCTATTTTGGGGAAAAAAATGAATCACACACTTGAAAGGACCTTGAAAGATAACTGATTCTTGACAAAGGAGTACAGCTGTCAGCCTCCAGCAGCTCCTACAGCATCTGTCTCAGACTTCTGGCCAAGGTCACACTCCTCCAGGGCATCACCCAGCCAGTAACTGAGCACCGCCGGGCTACCAAAGTCTGGCCCTGTGCACCTAACAAAAGCCTCCTCTTTGCCCTCTGCTCCCAAGCTCCCTTTTATGTTGCCCAGGACTCTGAGATCTCCCTAGCTCACACCTCCTATCACAGGGATCAGATCAGCATCCCTTTGCATAGGCTTTCTCCACCTAATCATGCCTCCTCAGCTTTTTACCTCACACAGGCATTATGTTGCCTAACCCCCAGGAAATTTCATGAACTCCTAACTCTACCTCCACGGCTGTCGTCTGATGGATACAACTAATGTGAAGAACATACAATTCACATATCTGACAAAGGCAGAGTATACAAAGAATCTTTGAAATACAGTAAGACAACCCAATTTTTTTTAAGACGGACAAAGACTTCATTGACAAAGATATGCAAATGGTAAACAAGACCAGGAAAAGACGGCCAATATCACAAGCCAGCTGAAAAATGCAAAATAAAAGTACAGTCAGATACCACAACACACCTGTCAGAACAGCTAATATTGAACAGACTGATAATTCCAAGTGCGAAAGAGGATGTGCAACAACTGACATTTGCACCCATTGCTGGTGGGAGTGTAAAATGGTACGATCACTTTGGCAACCAGCTCGGCAGTTTCTTATAAAGTTAAATTTGTATTTACCACATGACTCAACATTTACACTTCCAGACATTTACTCCAGAGAAATGAAAACTTGCACACAGAACAACTTGTACGTAAATGTTCACAGAAGCTTTATTGGCAATAGCCAAAATGGGAACGAACCCAAACAATAAGTGAATTACAGTATGTCCGTTCCAGGAAGAGGACCTAGCACTTAAAAAGAACAATGTAAGTCCAACCACGTGACTGAATCTCAAAAACACTGAGTCAAAGTGGCTTCTGCATCAAAGAAGTCAAATACTTAAAAGGACATTTATGATTCCATTTCTATAAGGTTCTAACACTGGCAAAATTAATCTTGGGTGATAGAAATTGAATCAGAGGTGCATCAAGGAGGGAGGGACAGACTGCAAAGAAGTAAGAGGAAATTTCCTAGGGTGATGAAATTTCTATACCTTGATTTGGTGATGGTTACGCAGGTGTATATATCTGTTAAAACTCATCAAACTCTAGACACAAAATGTATGCATATTGCTACAAGTAAATTATACCTCAATAAAATTGATTTTTTAAAATATATTCCTGGCATGTGTAAATCCTTTATTAAATAAATACTAAACAAATATATAAATACTATATCTAAGAGTATCTGTTGGTACTGCAAGTGGAATATTTATCTCATTTACATTTAGATGGTTATTGCTACAAAATAAAGAGGCTGTTGGTCTGTTTATTTTTCTTATAGCCAATGGCCTTATTCTGTTTTTTAACAGAATTCTTTTGGGTTTTATAGGCATATAATCATATAAACACCAAAAAGAAATAACTTCATCTCTTATTGTCCAACATTTTATAGATTACTTTACCTCTCTTATTGCATTTACGAGTCTTCATAATAATGTTGAATAATAACGGGTATCACCAGATGGCCTTTCTTTTCTCTACCTTCAAGGAAATATCTGAGTGTTTACACTACTACTTGTGGTTGGATTTTTCGTAAAGTGTTTATCAATTTGCAGTTTCTTTCCATTTCATTTTATTTTGTTAAATTTTTTCAAATGACTTTGCAGCTTAGATAACATACAGTTTTTCTCCTTTAAACTGTTGATTCAAAAAAAACTTGATTCCAATTAAATATACTTATATTTAATATTGCAATATATCTAATATTGCAATAGTTTGATTCCCTTGAATAAAACATCTTGAATTACTCTTTTGCTGTGATACTGGATTCTCTTTTAAATACATATTCATAAGCTAACTTGCACTTGGGAATTTTTTTATACTATCTTTATCAGGTTACTCTAAGGCTGGCTTCATAAAATGATTTAGGGAGCTTCTTTGTCTTTACCCTAAAAAATATTTAATTATGTATTGTTCTTTTTGTTAAAGATTTGTTTATTTGAGAGAGAGTAAGGGAGGGAAGGGTAGAGGGAGAATCTCAAGCAGACTCCCCACTGAGTGTGGAGCCCATCTTGGGGCTCGATTTCAAGACCCTGAGATCATGAGCTCAGCCAAAGTCAGAGGCTTAACCAACTGAGCCATCCAGTTGCCCCATCCATTGTTCTTTAAAGATTAAAAAGGATTTAAAGGATTTACTTGTGTGTCAAGTCTTCATGCTATTTTTTATAATGGATATTTAATCTTTAATTTTTCTAGGGCAATTAGTTTCTTAGTGTTTTTTGTTTATTGAATCCATTTTATTAGAAAGTCATTCACATCTCCTAGGTTTTCAAATGTGTGGCTTTTGAATTTTACTATAGTACTTGAATTTATTTCTCTATCATTACCTTCTTTCTCATTTCTACCTTTTATAATTTTGTTCTTTTTTTTTTTTTTTTAATCAAAGTCAAAAGAGGATTACCTAGGACACCTGGCTGGCCTCATTTGGCAAAGCATGTGAACCCTAATCTCAAATTCAGGAGTCTGAGCCCCATGTTGGGCATACATCTTATTTAAAAAATAAAAAGTAAAAAATAATACACTCACACACATATGGGGCCCCTGGCTGGCTCAGTTGCTGAAGCATGTGATTCCTGATCTCGGGGTAGTGAGTTCAAGTCCCATGCTGGGTGTAGAGCATACTTAAAAAAAAAGAAGGGGCACCTGGGTGGCTCAGTGGGTTAAGCCTCTGCCTTCAGCTCCAGTCATTATCTTGGGGTCCTGGGATCAAGCCCTGCACTGGGTTCTCTGCTCTGCGGGGAGCCTGCTTCCCCCTCTCTCTGCCTGCCTTTCTACCTACTTGTGATCTCTCTCTGTCAAATAAATAAATAAAATCTTAAAAGAAGAAGAAGAAGAAGAAAGGAATCATCTATCTTAATGGTCTCTTCAAAGAACTAGCTTTAGGATTTATTTATGTGAGTTCGGGGATTTTTCTATTTTATTAATTTCAATGATATTTTTATTGCTTCTCTTACTACCATTTCGTTGCCAATTAAAATACATAAGTTTATGTATTTTTTCTTTTTTCTTAAATTATAATGACATTTAAGCCTATAGTATTGCCTCAGTACAACTTTCATTTGGTCCCATGTTTTCTGGTAGGAAATCTTCATATTTTAATTGTTTATTGTATATCATTTTAATTTTTATTTCCTTTTTGATTCAAAAGGAAATAAAGTGATTCTAATGCCCTGTGTAATAGTTTAAATTATTGGAGTCTTTTACTATTGTTTATTACTAATTTTGTAGGATTATGATCAGAGATTATGACTTGTAAAATGTCCGAGTTTTTAAGTTTATTAAGATTATTTTATGTGGCTAAGTATAAAGTGTTTTTATACATAGTCCACGGACCTGTAGGTATACACACACACACACACACACACTCCATATATATAATATATATACTACATATGTACTCTATGTTGTAATTACTATATATGATGCAAAATTCTAAGCATTTATAAAATTATCAACTAAATCGCCCACGCACCCTCACACACACGATCATAGTTCCCCTTACTTTATTTTTTCATAGCATGTATCCTTTATGCTCTTGTAACAAACTATGTAATTTACTTATACAGTGCTTACTGTTTATCCTGTCAATTCTACATGACTGTAAGAAGGAGCAGAGCCGCTAAGTTTTAGCTGCCGCTCACTGATGTATCCCAAAAGCTACAACGGAGCCTGGCACCAGAAACTAAAATACATAAATCATCATGATCACACAAAAAGCAAAATAGCAATACGACTGGTGTCGGTTCATTCACGACCATCTGTTTCAACATCTGCCACGTGTCAGAACCACGCAGGTGCTACGTATATGTAGACAGACAAGTCCCCGTCCTCACCCAGCCTATGGGCATCCGAAAAGGAACGGGAGCCGGGGAAGGACACCGCGAATCCACGAGAAATGGATTCCTCTCGTGAATGTATTCTTTGTGTGTACTGGTCTCAAAATGGCCGCAGTGGCCACCTTTTCGACTCTTCTTGTCCTCTGCTTCTCACAGTTAAAAAGCATCGGCTGTCAAACCCATAAAATGTACTGAGGGGGGCTTCTAAAAGAGACAGCGACCTTGGCCGGTAATCGCCCATCCCCTGAACGACCTGGAATGGCTTTCCCAAGGCGCGGGGCTCCAAACCCCACAACACTGCAGAGACCGCGGCGGGGATGCAAAGTGTTTCACTGAGCATTCCGGCTGCCCTCCGCAGAGCTCAAGCTCGGACGGACCCAGCGAGGAAGCCACCCGCCTCGCCCACAACAGGCACTCGCCGCCACACTGGGTCCACGGAGGGAGCCCCACACACGAGCGAGGAAGAGCCGCGGCCAAGACTAACCCGCATCACCGGCATCACCGGCATCACACACGCATGCGCAATAGCAGATGCCGGGCGAGCCCGACGCGCAGCCTTCGCCCCGCCCCTCGGACCGGAAGAAGTTGATGACGCTTCCGGCGCCCAGCAGCCCTGCGGTTGCCTCGGTGATGTCGTGGGTTCAAAGGGCTCACTTGGTCGGGGGTCCCGGAGAGGAGGGGGACGTGTTTGACGAGGAAGGGGACGAGTCGCTCCTGGTGCAGCGGGAATGGCGGAGCCACATGCAGAGACGAGTCAAAGTAAAGCTGCGCGGCGGGTGCGGGGGACATATGCCGGATTGAGGGGAGAGGGACACGGAGCTGTCGGGAGTCAGGGTCGCGAGAGGAGAGCACAGCGTGGTCCCAGCCTGGCCCGGCGCTGCCCTCCCTCCCTCTGCCACCCAGATCCTGCTGGGATGTTCCGCTGTAAAGCGTGTGAAACCACGGGGCGCGTTAGACGCTGGAACAGACGATGAAGCAGGTCTAGACTTTGAAGAGATTGCAGTTTGACGAGGATCGCAGAGAGGCTGGGGGGGAAACATAGACCCTGACTATACTAACTATGGCTGTCGAAGGACATGTGCACATGCGTGCTTGAATGAGTGAAGACCCTGAAGTTAGGATGGCATTAATCGAGACTTAGGGAAAAAATGAACTTAGGAATGTCGAAGAGCAATAAAGGAAAGCCACTGTGGAATACTGGCGGCTAGGTGAAGGAACGCCGGAGTCGGTTTTTTGTTAGGTGTGAGTTACCCATATCTACTGTGTCTCACTGTTCATTGAAACTAAGCTTAATACCACACACTCAGCTTCCAGCTGGAGCGCTCAGAGCTGAGTTCACATGGTGAGGTCCGCTTCCACCTAGAATCCTTGCCAACCTTATATTGCCCCTGATCCGCCCTTGTTTGCTGCAGTAAAATGTTTGCTTCGCCCAACAACCGCGCAGTCAGTTTCAGAAATGCTTTATGTGAGGCGGGCGTTAGACCAGTAAGCCGCGATCATCTTTGAGTGCTGTGGCGCCATCGGAGATGCAGGACAAAATCCCTTCTGACAGAAAATTCGCAGTTTATTTGAATTTAGGTATCAAGCAAAATTTCTAAAACCACACTTCCCATGTTTTTTGCTAACACAGTTTCCTCTTTCCCTGCTTGAGCTGATTATTGAAGACCTTGGTTAACCTGTTTACTGCCCTGCCTTCTCGCCCACCCACCTCAGTCAGTGTTGCCCAGGGGCCAGACACGCAACTCCCTCTGTATCCTTTCCGTGAAGGCATTGTTAACACAAGGTTTTTAAAGCTGTATAAGAATCAGTATTTATTTGTGCCAAATAAGTCAACTTCAAAAGCGGGATATGCCAATTATAAACCTTTAGGAGAGGCATAGTCTGCTTTGGTTGTGTGTGTCATCTGCTGTAGAACCATTATGTTAACTAGTAAGTAGCAAAGGCCTATTTCATCAACTTTCCAAGTTGGTTCTATGACTTTCTAGAAAAACCTACAGTGGTTTACCTGGTGTTCATTACAGCTGCAGCTCTTCATTACTTATTTTTAGGAAGGCTATAGAGATGGAATAGATGCCGGCAAAGCAGTTACTCTTCAACAAGGCTTCAACCAAGGTTACAAGGAAGGTGCCGAAATCATTATAAACTATGGACAACTCCGAGGAACATTGAGGTAATTTTTAAAACTTAAATGCTGAGTCATTTTAACCCCAGTACTACCGGAGGATGTTTATAAAAGTAGTACGTAAAAATAAAGCATTTAAACTGAAGTACTTTTTCTAGTGTTAAATCCACAAAAGAGTACTGCGGAGCACAGAATAATATTGCCTTCAAAAACTCAAAATCATAAGTACATCTACTTTAATATGTGAACTTTAACAAGTTCATCCACTTTAATAAAGGACAACAATAAAGGTGTTGTCCTTTATTGCAAAGAAATGCTAGGAAGGTGTATATCTTTTGCTGCCTGAACTACCACTAATCTGTATCTCAAAGTAATTTAAAAGATCTTCAGGTTTTGAATAAAGCTTTTAATCTTGCACATGTGGCAGAACACAGTATAACAGACTTCTAGACTAGAAATGATGAAAATTATAACTGGTAATAGAAAAATGATTCCATTTACTTTAGTGCTGGACATTGAACACCTGTCAAGATTCCATAGTAATAATGGCATATATCAGAGCCAAGTGGTCAAATGACAGAAAGAGCTAGGAGCATGACAGACTTGTCATCTTTGACACTTTGACACTAAAAGGTATGACACATACCTTTTAAATTGTCCTCTGTAGAAAACAAACAAAAAACATAAAATGGTTCAAAGAATCACTAATTTTTAAAAGGGTAGGAAATAAAAGTTATCAAAACAAAAAAATACATTGTTTGAGGTTTTAGAAAATTCAGCTGTCAGAAATCAGAATTTATAAGTCTCCAGTAGGAAAATGATCAAGTATTCATTTTACATCAAGTTCAATCTTTTACAAGCTCAGAAAATTTATTACTAAATCTTGTATATCACTTGATCCCATTTTTAAAACATGATTATTCTTCAGTGTGCCTGGGTGGCTGGGTCAGTTAAGCGTCCAACTTTTGATTTCTGCTCAGGTCATGATCTCAGGGTTGTGAGACTGAGCCCCAAGTCAGGGTGGACCCTGGGCATGGAGCCTGCTTAGGATTCTCACTCTCCCTCTCTCTCTGCCTCCCCTCCCCACTTCTCTCTCCCTCTCTTTAAAAAAAAAAAAAAAAGACAGGATTACTTTTCTCAGTAACCATTATTTTATGTCATGGTTACCTGAACAATCTGAAATGTCAGAAAACAAAAGTGTTGTCTGTAGTAGAAAAAGGCTAGAAGAATTCTTACCTTTTTTTTTTTTTTTTAAGATTTTATTTATTTGTCAGAGCACGTGCACAAGCAGGGAACAGCAGGCAGATGGAGAACGGATGTGGGACTTGATCCCAGGACCCTGGGATCATGACCTAGGCCAAAGTCATATGCTCAACAGACTGAGCCATCCAGGCGTCCCACATTCTTACCTTCTCTAAGAAGATGATTAGTTAATTCAACAGTGATTATAACAAAGTCAGGAAAGAGAAGTTGCCTCAGAACTTTTTTTTTCTACCCTTTAGTTTTGATGGCAAGTAACTATATGCTTAGAGCAGTTGTTTTCAACGTTGGCTGCACCTTGATATCAGCTGGGAAGCTTTAAAAAATAAAACCCCCAGAGATTTCTGATTTCATTGGTCTGGGATGTGACCTAGGCCTTGACAGTTTTAAGAGCTGCCCAGGTGATTCCAATGTACATCCAAGTCTGAGAATCACTGGTCCGGAAGCCGTGTGATGTCCTTCAAGGAGAAACTGATTTTTGTGATCTCTTCCTCTGAGTTGCATTCCTCTTCAGCGGAAACTACACAGTCATAAAGAAAAAATCTAAAATCAAGAAAAGTGGATGTGGAGTTGTGAAGGAGGTGTTAGGAATTATAAGCAGTTTATATGATTACTTCCAGTTTATTATTTTTTTTTTAAGATTTTATTTATTTTGTTGACAGAGAGATCACAAGTAGGCAGAGAGAGAGGAGGAAGCAGGCTCCCTGCCGAGCAGAGAGCCCGATGCAGGACTCGATCCCAGAACCCTGAGATCATGACCTGAGCCAAAGGCAGAGGCTTAACCCACTGAGCCACCCGGGTGCCCCTCCAGTTTAATTTTTATCAAAAGATAAATCTTTATATACATTAAAAGCCGTTTTAGCATCATTACTTTCCTGATTTTGACTTGCATTATTATTGAATCATTTTTGCATTGTGTTATCTAGAAAAGAAACGTGTAGGGTTTAGCATCAAAAATTTGAAAAGCCTGTGATTGTTTCTTTTTTTTTTTTCCTATTTAACTCTTGTTAATATTTTCATTCAGTGCCTTGCTCTCCTGGTGTCACCTTCATGATAATGGTTCAGCTCTGATCAGTAAAATAAATAATCTTCTGGATGCAGTTGGCCAGTGTGAAGAGTACGTGCTCAAACATCTAAAATCAATCACTTCCCCGCCCCACGTTGTAGATTTATTGGACTCTATTGAGGATATGGACCTTTGTCACGTAGCTCCAGCCGAGAAAAAGATGGATGAAGCTAAAGATGAAAGACTCTGTGAAAATAACGCTGAGCTTCACAAAAACTGCAGCAAGAGCCTTAGTGAGGCAGGTTGTTCATCTTTAGAATGTTGTGGAGTACAGGACCGTGAACATTCTGAAAACCCAAGCCTCACTTGGATTTTAGAACAGACAGCCGGTTTAGTAAAACAGCTGGGAATATCACTCGACATATTACAGCACCTCAAACAACTATAAAAATTCTCTTCACTTTTTTGATGAAAGTAATGTTCATAACATGTCTTAGAACATTTTTTTTTTAACAAACTAACCAAAATTTGTACCAGTTTCTACGTTGAACACATCACTTGTAGGTTATCCTTCATGGAAATGTGCAATATCTTCAAAATTAACACTATTAAATGTAATAAGAGCTTTTTTCTTTGCCACTGGTAATTTTTATGTCATTTAAGATATGCTCAGAGACTCGAGTTGCCATTGTCATTTTCAAGTTTCTGATCAAAATCAAGCATTTTTCAGACTCATTAGCATATGTGAAAAAGAATCAAACACATTTTGTAAGGACCTAACCCTGCTTTCCTGCTTTTGTCACCATCAAGTGGTTAGGGCCTTACCACCAACTAATCAGACCAAAGTTACCATAAATAATCTAGTGGATAACATTGTAAATAGATACACGTAAGTATATAGATATATATATACTGAAATTAAGAGGCTATAAGTGTAAGAAACTGAAGAAATGTTTATACTGATGATTAAAAACAAAATATTAAAATTCATTTTTGTTTTTGTTTTTGTTTTTGTTTTATTCTCACATAATCTCCACACCCAGCATGGGCTGGAGCTCACAGCCCCCAGATCAAGAGCCACATGCTTCTCCAACTGAGCCAACCAGGCGCCCCATAAAATTCATTTTCGTTTTATGTTAAAGGCAAGGACATACAATTCCATGGAAAATTAAAAATATATTTCATGCTCAAGTACCTGGTTTTTCCACATAGTAAGGAATTAGTAGTGGTTCTAACAATGTGCCAGGTTATTTCTAAACCAGTTTTGTTTCACGTATTCAAATAGGAATAAACACTGGAACCACTGACTTCTCTATTACCTTGTAGCAATATTCTTAGTCTAGCACAGACAAGATCAAGATTCAAGCTTTTGCTCCAGCACCTAAGCATATGAGAACAGGAAAGGATTTTTCAGCACTTCCTTGGCTAAAATACAAAGTTGTATGAGGTGCCTTCTTTTCTCTAAAAGATAGACATACTCAGATAGAGAATAGAAGATAAGTCTTTCCAGAGATTGATAAAATGTTCTACTGTGATCTCACAACCTCCTTCAAGCTCATAGAACATTGAAAGTTAAGCCTGGCTGGCTCTGTTGGAGCATCCGACTCTGGATCTCAGGGTTGTGAGTTCCGGCCCCACCTTGGATATAGAGATTGCTTAAAAATAAAATATTAAAAAAAAAAAAGTTCACAGAACATTAAGAAATTAAGCAACAAATTTGAAGTCAGAGATCGTATCCTGGGGCGCCTGGCTGACTCAGTCAGAAAAGCATGTGGTTCTTGGTCTTCAAGCCCCGCACTGGATTTAGAGATTACCTAAAATCTTTAAAAATAAGACCATATACTGTTTGAGGATTTCTAAAACATGTTGAAGATATCAAATGACACTTGACAGCTACTTTAAAAAAGTGCTTAAGGGCACCTGGATGACTCAGTTGAGCGTCTCTTAGTTTCAGCTCAGGTCATGATCTCCGGGATCGTGGGATCGAGCCCCACGTTGGGCTCCCTGCTCAACGGGGAGTCTGCTTCTCCCTCTCACTCTGCTTCTGTGCTCTCCCCTCTCCCTCTCTCAAATAACACTTTAAAAAATAGTAAATCTTTTTTTTTTAAGTGTTTATATCTCTCTAGGTATAAACACTAATTCAGCAGTGGAGAGGCGCCGCCATTGCCGCCGCGCTCGGTGAACGCATCCCGCTCGCCGAGCAGGGCCCTCGCGGGCCGCCGGCACCATGGGCCAGTGCGGCATCACCTCCTCTAAGACCGTGCTGGTGTTTCTCAACCTCATCTTCTGGGGGGCAGCTGGAATTTTATGCTATGTGGGAGCCTATGTCTTTATCACTTATGATGACTATGACCACTTCTTTGAAGATGTGTATACTCTCATCCCTGCAGTAGTGATCATAGCTGTAGGAGCCCTGCTTTTCATTATTGGCCTAATTGGCTGCTGCGCCACAATCCGAGAAAGCCGCTGTGGACTTGCCACGTTTGTCATCATCCTACTCTTGGTTTTTGTCACAGAAGTTGTTGTAGTGGTTTTGGGATACGTTTACAGAGCAAAGGTGGAAAATGAGGTTGATCGCAGCATTCAGAAAGTGTTTAAGACCTACAATGGAACCAACCCCGACGCTGCTAGCCGGGCTATTGATTATGTACAAAGACAGTTGCACTGTTGTGGAATTCACAACTATTCAGACTGGGAAAACACAGACTGGTTCAAAGAAACCAAAAACCAGAGTGTCCCGCTGAGCTGCTGCAGAGAGAGCGCCAGCAGCTGTAATGGCAGTCTGGCCCACCCCACCGACCTCTATGCCGAGGGATGCGAAGCTCTAGTTGTGAAGAAGCTACAAGAAATCATGATGCATGTTATCTGGGCCGCGCTGGCATTCGCAGCTATTCAGCTGCTGGGCATGTTGTGCGCGTGCGTCGTGTTGTGCAGAAGGAGTAGAGATCCTGCTTATGAGCTCCTCATCACTGGCGGAACCTATGCATAGTAGAACACGCAAGCCTGAGCTTTTTGGTCTTGTTATTCTGATTTGGAAGGCGAATTGAGCAGGTCGACTGCATTGGCGGCCTGAGTTCATTTAGTTAAAGCACACAGGTGTTGGACAAAGCAGCTTGGCTCTTCATGTGCCCACCTACTTCCCTACCCACCTACGATTTTCTTTTCCTCTAGTCTAGCTGACTCTCCATGTCCCTAAGTTTTTAAGTCTAGCAGTATATGTTCTAATTTCAGAACCATTTGCAGGTTGCATAGTGTGGGAGAATCAAAGGAGGGCCTGGGCCTGCTTCTGTTACCTCCATGCAGTAATGGGGATGCTGCCAGAGTATCACTGGGCCCTTTCAGTCTTCATGATGGAGAACTCGGGCCAAAAGTTTTTGGGGGAGAGGGGGAGGAAACCAGCTGCAGTTAAAGTTAACACCAGATGGTGCCCCTCGTCAGTGTCCTTTTTAAAAAACATATACTGTAGTCCAATAAGATAGCAAATGTATAAAATTGCTAAAATAGATTTTAGAATCATACAGTGTGTCTCTTGGTTCATCTTCAAAATCAGACTGATCTTTGAAACTAGCAGTTTTTAATCAAAGCTGGCTTTATAGGAGGAGTATAATGTATGCACTACTGTTTTAAAACAATTAGTGTGAGTGTGTGTGTGTTTTTGTATGATTGAGCCCATTCATTGTTAGTCTAAACTCGTTAGGATTTAATGTACCCATGTAGACTAGCAAAATAGTATGTAGATGTGATCTCAGTTATAAATAGAAAAATCTAACTCAATAAACTCTGTATCACCCCTCAAAAAAAAAAACACTAATTCAGATATTTACTAATCTCTCTCTCTCTATATATATATATGGATATTATGCACAGACTCTAAAATCTTAAAGTGTTGTTCTGCCCTGCATATCAGATATGAAATCTCCATCTCTAATGATGCATCTCGAAAAAGTCACACCCTGAGTGGAAATTTCACCAGTGCAGTAAATCTTGAGATTTTATTTGGGCTCACCCTGCTAAGATTCTCCAAAGGTAATACCCCTTGCCACCACTGATAATATGGTGTTTTTGTGCAGATGTTCATAGAGAAGTAAATCAAAGAGAATTAGCCAAGCTGATGAAGCAATTTGGTCAAAAACATCTTTTAAACTTGCTTTGCCTTTTAAAGAAGTTTATGGATGCAGAGGAATGTTAATGGTATGCCCATTACACCTGTGTCTAATGAACAGAGCCTCTGTTTTACCTTATGGTCATCTAGGGCCTTTTCATGGTAACAGCCAGCAGGCCTATAGCATGAGTCAGGACAAAAAACACGTGGCAAGCACGGTTTCTTTTCCTCACTCCTGCTGGTTCTAGAACAGAAGGTAAAGCAAGACTGTCCCAAAGCAGGCACAGCCAGAGTTTTAAGGCCCAAAACCCATACACGAGGCCCAAGTGGCATGGCTTCCTTACAAACAGAATTTTCACCTTAAATAATTTCTAGTTGCTGAAATCCCTAGAGCATTTTTGTTTTAATGGGAGAAAGAGTCCACAATACCCTGCTTTTTGGCTATCTCAGTTGCTAGAGCTGCTGAGGACAGGTAAATGTGTGTGAAAGACAATGGGAAGTGGGCAGCTGAATTTACCCTACCTGCATCCTTATCTCATTTATATCCGTAGCCCTGCTTATGAACTGCTTTTGTAGTAAACGCAAATAAGAGCCGTGAACTAAGTCCAAGTTGGGATTCTCACCCACCTTCAAACTAAAGACGAAGGTTTGTATTCCAGTCCAAGATAGAAAGGCATAGAGATAATATAGGAAAAGGCCTTATTTTAAAAATCTTTCTAATTTCAATCGAATAAAAATGAAAATCTTACTAATTCCAGACCAGTGGATGAAGTAAATGTAATATGTCGTGCTAATAAACTACCAGTCAGACTTCTGGCTCGACAGAAATTCTCAACTCTCCATCCTGGCGGTACTTGACCCACAGTCGGCCTTTCGTGCTTCGGCTGTCATCGCCTCTTCCCGACAAACTCCCCACAAGAGTCTGAGTCACTCTCAGATTGCTTTCTGTTCATTCACTCCTCAGCGTCAAACTGCTTCTTGATAAGGTCACCTGTGGCTGAGGTCCCACAGCGGCCCCTCCCTGACTTGTCTGCCTTGTCACTGGACATGGTGATCATCCCCGACTTTTTACGGTCCCTCCGCTTGCCTTCTGCAGTGGCACGTCTTCTTGCCCTGCTTACCCTGGTCTCTCACTCTGTCCTATCATTCTGCCAAGTCTCCCCTTCTCTGCCTGTGGGAGGCTATGATACTTTCATCCTTGGACCTCTTTCTGTTTTTGTACTCTAACCAGATCGTCTCACTTGATCCCACAGTTTCAAATACACTGACTATCCCAAAGCTGATGTTCCCACCCCTCTTCCTCTCCCAAGCTCTAGACCCGTATTTCCAATGGCAATTTCTCCTGTCTCCCGGCGTAGCTGCACAGCATGTCTAAAACTGACCTCATTTCCATCTTCTCCCCTCCCACCCGCCCAAACTGTTGTGCCTTTTGCGCTGGCGATCTTCTCCTGTCATCTCTGTTCACTCAAAGCCAGGAACCTTTTCTTTTAATTAAGATATAATTGATACATAAACACTATATTAGTTTCAGGTGGCCAGTACAATTATTCAATATTTGTGTATGTTGCAAAGTGGTCACCACAATGAGCTAATTAACATCCATCACCACAAACAGTTATGATTTTTTTTCTTATAATGAGAACTTTGGAAATCTAATCTTAGCAACTTTCAAATATACAATGCAGAATTATTAACTGTAGTTACCATGCTGCACATCAAATCCCCATGACATTTATTTTATAGTTTGTAAAAGCTAGAAACATTTAAGTCTTTCTCTGCTTTTCCTTTGCTATCTGACCCTACTTCCACTGGGGAGTTTATCCATCTTACTTTAAAACATGCCTTGAGGGGAATCTGGGTGGCTCAGTGGGTTAAGCCTCTGCCTTCGGCTCAGGTCATTGATCCCAGGGCTCTGGGATAGAGACCCGCATCGAGCTGTCTGCTCAGCAGGGAGCCTTCTTCTCCCTCTCCCTCTCTCCACCTCCTCTCCCCAACTCGTGCTCTTTTTCTCTCAAATAAATAAAATCTTTTTTTTTTAAATGCCTTGAATCTGGTCCCCTTTCATTTTAATCGCCAGATTTTTTTTTTAAGATTTTATTTATTTAGGGGAGCCTGGGTGGCTCAGTGGGTTAAAGCCTCTGCCTTTGGCTCAGGTCATGATCCCAGGGTCCTGGGATCCGGCCCCACATCGGGCTCTCTGCTCCGCGGGGAGCCTGCTTCCCCCTCTCTCTCTGCCTGCCTCTCTGCCTACTTGTGATCTCTGTCAAATGAATAAATAAAATCTTAAAAAAAAATACTCCATGCTTTATGGACAGTTACAAGCTTCTAATTTTGTTCCTTGCTGACTCTTCTTCCCAGAATATATTATTCCACATCCTTCCTTCCCAGCAAATTCCTACTTACCCTTCAATACCGCCTCAAATTTCAACTTCCTCAGGCAGAGTTAGTTGTTCTCCCCAGTATTCCCTCTGCATCACTTTGAGTGTCTCAGTCTTCAGATTTATTCAGGAAATCGCCTTATTCATTGTTACGTCCCAGCAGTGCCCATACTTAGGTAGTGCCTGATTAGAGAACAAGTGAATCAACTAGACAAAATGAAAATAAACCCAGAAATTTAGGATTAAAAATACATCATGTTCTTTTGTCTTTAAAAGGGAAAAGGAACCTTTGTATTTAACTTGAAGAAAAAAATTTGCTTTCATTTTGCACGTTAATAAAATCCACATACCCAAATTGTGTCATCGTCTTATACCAGGCTAAACAGTAGCATTAGACACTACTACTCACCGGGGCACCTGGGTGGCTCAGTTAGCTGAGCGTCCAACTCTTGATTTTGGCTCAGGTTGTGATCTCAGGGTCATGATCTCAGCATCGTGAGATCAGGCCCCACGAGGGCTCCGCACTCAGCGGGGAGTCTGCTTGGGATTCTCTCTCCTTCTGCCTCCCCCCCCCAACAAAGTAAGTAAATCTTTGAAAAAAAAAAAAAAGCAATACTACTCACCAATCATTTGAAATTGCACTAATGAATAAAATTACAGCATAATTTTTAAAGATACAAAATTATGTTTGGAGTTCAGTTTCAGCTATTAAGCAAGAAAGGACTGAAGGACACTGCACGTGAAAAAACTGGAAAGAAAGAAAAATACTTGTTTCTAGCAGGATGCCTGGTGCCTAATCTCTGATAGCAGTAAGGAGCTGGAGGAAATGCAGGAGTGGGGTGGGGGAAAATAGCTAAAAATACAGTGTTCATGATACACAAGCACTGTTCTGAAAACTTTGCATGTATTAATTCGCTCATTTCTCACAACAACCCCATGTGACCGAGCTATTAATTATCCCCATCCCAGCAAAGTGGAACCAGGACACTGAGAAGACCAAGTAACTCTTCCAATTCGCCGTTACGTATATGGCTCAGATGAGATGTAGAGCAAGGAAAATCTAGCTCCAGATTCTGTGCTCAGGGTAGATGTGTACTGAGTAATAGCCCAGTAGCAGGGGCTGTGTTCAGTAGAGGGTCTATGAACTGTATTTTGTCTTCATTATTCATTTCTACTTCTCTGCATTTTTCAAATCATCTCAAGTATTATTTTCTAATAAAATGTTAATAATAATCAGCAGCTACAGGACACCTGGGTGGCTCAGTCGGTTAAGCATCTGCCCTCAGCTCAGGTCATGATCCTGGGGTCCTGGGATCCAGTCCTGCATGGGGCTCCCTGCTCAGCGAGGAGTCTGCGGCTCCCTCTGCCCCTCCCCCACTTGTATGCACGTTCTCTCTCACAAATAAAATCTTTAAAAAATAATAATAATCAGAGTGACGAATAACAATAAATTGATCAGAAATTTGTTTGCCATATACCTAGAAAAAGAAAAATACCATTCCCTTCTTGGGGGAAGGGGGAGAGAATCTCTCCATAGGGAGTGGTACAGCAAGGTGCATTTAGCATATTCCGAAATTAAATTCTCCTTGGACTCCTTAGACTTTCTACACTGCTCATGAAGAGGATATTTGTGCCATCTATTCTGTGATAATGTTCCTTTAGCTTTCATAAATTTCTACTTAACTTTCACAAAAGCTCAGGGCTTACAAAATACGTGCGTTGCTACCGATCTGCCCAAAGGAGCTTAAGAGTCCTTAACGTACACCAAGTTCCATTTCATTGCCCTGTAAGCAGTGTGATTTTTCAAGAAAGAAGGATAGCCAAGTACAATGAGACCTACCTATGATGGACTCAATGCTGCGGAGGTTGAGAAGTTGACCTCCCTGTTCTTTTAAGGCTTGAGCGCGCAATTCGCGGCGGGGAAGGAGGCGGGGACGGTCTGGATCCTGTTTATTTCCCGGGAGCTAGGGAATTCCTTGGCCACTGGGGGGCGCTGCTGCATCCCGAAATGTAACGTGCTCTTTGCTTGGTCTTCAGT